TTAGAATGATTTCTGAAGGATCATGTGACACTAAATATATTATATTTTAAAATATATATAATTTTTAAAATTGTAATAAGATTTCACAGTATTGCGGCTTTAAAAATCATACCTACCACAAACTTTGGATATTGTAAGACTCTAGAACAAAGAATAAGGACTTTTATAATAGAATATAATAGAATAAGAACAAAATACAATAAATACTTGGAATATACAGTAGCACTTGAGGCATGTGGACCAATTTAATGATTTTTTTTATTATTTTTTTTTTTTTATTTTAAGTTTGATGTGTTGTTGTAGTTGCATAGAAATTCTTCGCAATTCCTTTTTTGTGTTTCGTGGTAAAATAACAGCATACACATAAGGGTGAGTAAATAATGACATTTTGATTTCCATTTTTAAAAGAAAACTCCTGTAACACTCATATTTATCTGCATTTTCATTTCTGATTGTATAATATCTCACACAGTGACATAACATTTTGTCAAATGCAGAAGAGACCCCTCAAAATGCTCTCACCTCTGCAGACTTTAAATGACAGCACTCCTCTTCAGTAACCAGGTAACCAATTTGAACCTGTCAGTTAAACATGTATGAAGAGCGATTGGCTAATCTGTGCTCGTAAATTAAATATGGCTGCGCGGAAAGCCAGATGGCTCTGTGGTGTAGAGTTATTCCTGGTAATTTAGTCTCTGAATTTAAACCAGTCAACGGAAAATGAGAAGTGTCTTGATTCACAAAATTCTTCAAGGGGGTTCTGTTTGTGAGATGTGTTGACACAAGATAAGAGTAATTGCTGCAAAATGTCTGTGCTGTGTGTAATGAGCGCTATCTCTCTTAAACGTCAATGCTTGAGAGACGACTTTCAAGAACAAATACTCTTTCACAGCCTCTGTTTCAAGCAGAACCGATGCTTTGAGGTATTTTGGAAACCATCTCTGCCAACCGGTTTGCAATACACCTTTTGGAATGTTATGCAAATGGAATGCTCTGTTTCATAAGACCACCACAGATGAAAGCGGCCAAAAGCTGGTTTGATGTATAAAACATGAATTACTTTTGAAGGTTTCACAGGTGTACAATAGCAGCACATCCCCTATCACTGAGCAAGGCAATTCATTAATGCAAAGGGCTAAAGTCCAGGGATTTTTTATTTTATTTTATTTTATTTTATTTTATTTATTTATTTATGTATTTATTATTTTATTTTATTTTATTTTATTTTATTTTTTTTATTTTGATGTAGAATATGGCCGTGCAGAATTTGTGCTTTATAAGTAGCCTACTAATAAACAGCCAATATATTAATAATTAGCATGCTAATAAGCAACTAGTTAATAGTGAGAATTGGTCCCTATACTAAAGTGTTACCATTATTTTCATAGAAAAAGAAAAGAATGAAGAAAGGTGCACTTTTTATTTTCTAATACTCTTGAGTCATTTTCTGCAAGTCTGCGCCTCTTCAAAGTGTAGGTAAATTATCATACAAATGCTTCTCTGCGCTTATAATTCCCATTAATCTGGTTTTATTTTTCATAATAGCCGCTAGTAAACTTCCCCCCTGCCTCTTAGACTTTATTAAAGATGTAGCGATACACACAATTCTCTTATCACTGTTTCACAACAGGATTTGACTGGAGCATGAACCAGTTCAAAACATTTCAGGTGGATTTGTTTTAATGAACCCAACCTCTGTTTTTTGAACGAGAGATTTAGAGAGCTGCAAGTGCTTTCTTTGAATACTCATACAATTACACTAATTATCTCAGTCCCTGCTTACCTGTACTGCAGTCCTCTCCTTTGCTCAGGCTATAAAAACTAAATATGCTATTGACGTAAACACTTATGTCTTACTCTCCAATCCATACAGTAAACTTACTTGTCCTTGAAAATACCCCTTTAATGGCTTGTTATGGCTGTACGTTGTTACAGCACCATCATAAAATATTACTGCCAGTGCTGCATTGGTGTAGATCTTTAGTATAACAGTATACTACTACTAGTTTGATTGCTGTGAATTAAAACCCCAGAGCATTATGACACGGTCAGGGCATTGTGTCTTTTATTACATAGTTTTTTGCCATCCATGCATATGTTTCTATAATTACTACACACTGTGAATAGTTTGTCATGCAAAGTGCATCTGTGTCAGAACAATATTTGATGCTTTGTGCAAGTCAGTAGTCTGATCTTAAAGGTTGAAATGTGTAGAATCAGACATGTTACAAAATAGAACGGATGGAGTTTAATTACAGTAACCTGATTTTACCACACATCTATTGAATTTGCTGGATGAGCACCATCATATTCTGATGCTGATGATATTTTATCAGGGGATCTGATCTTAATAAAAGAAACTGAAAGTATTTCTATAATTATATGTTAATTAAATCCTACATAGGTTATGAAATGACTTCAGGTAAAATTAAATAGTGACACGCTTGGAATGACACATTTTACAAACCAAAAATAGTCAATATTTATATTTTTTATTTATTTTTAATTTTAAATATTGTATTTATTTTTAATAAAGAGCAACATACATGTAAGATACATACTAAACATGCCTATGTTGTTGTTATTTTTTATTTATTTATCCAGCCAGCCAGCAAGTAAGATGATAGATAGATAGATAGATAGATAGATAGATAGATGGATGGATGGATAGATAGATTAAACATTTTATTCAGCAAAGACACATTAAATTGTTTAAAACTGACAGATAGAAACATTTGTAATGTTACAAAAGAAAAAATATTAATTTAAAGTAAATTCTGTTCTTTTGAACGTTCTAGTCATCAAAGAATCCTGAAAAAATGTATCAGAGTTTCCACAAAATATTAAGTGCAAAATCATTTTCTGAAAGGTCATATCACACATTTGTACTATCATATCATAATATAATATAATATAATATAATATAATAGTAGCTACTATAGTAGCTTTAATTAGCATCCCTATTATAGAAGTAAATCACAACAGTAAAAATAAAACCTCCAGTTTCTCTTCCTTTGAAGACAAAAGTGTTCCAGCTTTTGCAATGACACTCCAATATAGGACAAGTTAGAAGAAAATGCTGTTAAAATGCTGGCAAAGCAGAGACAGAAAACCATTACTAGTGTAAGACAAAGAGGAGTTCAAGCGACATCAATCTCTGTATTGGAAAATAATGGTCACTTCCACCCCAAAGAGTCGAATTGCTCTCGGCTACCAGCCTTTTCCCCATCTCTCTCAGCTCAGATTCTTCAGTTCCGGTGTATAGAGATCTGCCCGATCACTCATTCCAGCATGTCACTATGTGTTAGATGAAGAAAGAGAGTGATTTAGCACACTAGCGTGAGTGTGTGGACGTGCACTTGGAGGTGTACCATTACATTCCGGTCGCAAGCCACTTGGAGCTCTCACTTAAGCCATAAACACTGTTTTCACAGATACGTGAGGACACATATTATCCCTCTCAGAGCAGCATTTCAACTTGATTATTGTTTTTCAGCAGTACTCTTAACCCAGGCAATCATCAACTAGGTGTTTTGAATGCTGAAGTGGGTTCCGTTTAGCAGGCTAAAGCAAAACACTGAAAATTACAAAAGGCCCTCTATGATATATAACTGAGTTCTCATAGTGACATGATATTACATAGCCAGCAGCATTGCACCAAATCAGCTGGGAGCCCACAAACTGGGAATTGAGCTGTCGTCCCACAAATGTTATTTAAGTGCCGTGCCAATGCACTAAAGTCAACATTGCCAGCAGGGCAGAGTTTAGCAGAGCTTATGCTGTCTTAGTGAGTAAGGTTTCACAGCTTCAGTTTATACAGATGTCTTAACTTATAGTGGCAAAATTTCCCTGTTGAGAAAACCTTCAGGCGGTGGTATTTTTTTATCTGGGTGTTTTCTCCTTCTCAGAGGTGGAGGAGTACTTCCAAATGTATGCTTTCCGCCACAACTGATAAACAAGGTTTGTTTGTACAGTACTGGTCAAAGTTGGACTCAAGCTTATTTCTAGCATATTTCTATAATTATATGTTAATTCAATCCCACATATGACTTCAGAAAATTATAGTGCCGCACTTGGAATGACACACATTCTACATTACCAAAAATAGCAAATAATCATATTTTAAAAAGAATATTTTCCACATATATGATATATATTTGGTGTATACACTCTAATGTTCAAAAGTTTGAAATGAAACCTTTTAATAAGCAAGAATTCAAAGACTGGTAAATAGTGAAAGACATGTAGAATGTTACAAAAAAAAGTCTATTTGAATAAATGCTGGGGGGGTCCCCCACAATGTCAAAAATTTCAGGTTTTACTATCCTTGTGGGGACATTTGGTCCCCACAGTGTAGCATAAACACACACACACACACACACACATGGCTATATATTGATATACAGTATATATTGCTTTTATATATAGTTTTGTGCGTTTTTCCTTTTTGATATTTTTGATTATTAAATACTTAGAATAATTTGCAAGTAGTTTAAATAGCATGTTAACCATTAGAACACGTATGAATCATCTTAACCTTAAAATAACACAGAAGTTATGTGGGTAGGTATGTCATTCAGTTTGGATTTTCAAAACAATCTCTTAAAAAGGTGCGCGACGCCTTAATTTTGTACTTCAATTTTCCTGTCATCCTCTCTGTCTAGACATTATTCTTTTCGGTTCTCAAAAATATGGGTAATTTGATTTGTGATTTTGTGCAACAAAGCTCAATTTTCTCTCTCGAGTGCTTCTTGAACAGTCGTGTTGAATGGCAGAGGCTGCAACCACAAGGCAATCAATGAATGTCGCTCACGCAATTGCATTACTCCATACAACAGCCGCTGATTTGCGCGCTGTACTGCTGCTATGACAACAGCGCGCGGTTTATCTAACTTGTGCGTGATTTACAGTCTCTATTCCGCGGTAAGGAGGCTCTAAAAGAAAACCGAGCAACGGTCCCACTGGAGGGAGACTTTTTTTTTTTTTTTAGAAGACTGTGTATACTCACACTGTACTGCACTGAGGAACCACAAACACCCTCCATATCCATTCACGCGCAGCTGGAATGACATTTTGGCAGGTTCATTCGCTCTCGGCTCTCTTGCCTTCACTTCTTAAAGTTTGAGACAGCGTGTCAGTGAGGGAAAAAGGTGGATTTTGAGTTCGAATATTAAATGACCTAAGAAAGCAGAAAGATTGAGGGCACCACTAAAGTGTACATTTACATCATACGTTATTTTATTTTACCCCCATTTCCATGGCGACGGCACGGCGCGGTCATCGATAAGCGCTCTGTACTGAGTACGCGAGGGATTTTGTTGTCTACCTGGGGAGGAAATCTGGATTAACAGATGAACTGTAATGGCTAACTAACGCGTTTCTCTTTTGGACTACTGTGAACGGATTTCCACTCCGAGAACTCCGCAAATGAAGATGGTTGTGTGTGGATGCTGCGCGGCGTCCTGGAGGAGGTGTGTGGTGATGAGTCTCAGACTGTTGTTCCTTCTCCCCGCAGGTCTGCCTGTCCGCAGTCAGGGAGAATCCCAATCCGATAACAAACAGATGGACAATATCACCATCAGACAAGGAGAGACGCTCTTCCTCAGGTAGGCGGTGATGGTTGTGCATTTATCATGCTGTCATGTTGCTGTGTCCTGCGCGAAAAGAGCATCAGGACTGTCAAGTGTTTTGCGTGTCGGTTCATGACGTTTGTCAGCTGCTTTTTTAAAGATGTATGTTACAGAGTAAAATGGCTTAGTTAGCTTCAAAATTAGTGAAATTGTTAATGTGCTTTGTGTTTTCCTTTATAAGTTTTGGTGCACAAACTGTAAACTGATTCAACTCACTATAATTGAAAACAGATTTTATAAGTGCTGCACTACTTTTAAAAAAATGTAATTCAAGTGGTCACAACCTGCAGTTCATTGCATTTTTCCAGCCACTTTGAATTTAATTAGCCTACTGAAGAAGAACATTAAGTTGAAACGGATATGAAAACTGATAAAATTATTTATTTTTTGTGGAAAATCAAATTGAAACAAATGTTTAATTACGTAATTATGTGAACATTTGCACAGTGCAGAAAATATTAGAATAAATTATCTACTAAAGCATCCAAGTGTAGGAAGGATGCAACAAATTTTGACTTGTCAGTGGAATATGTAAACTGGACATTTTGTACTGTTTTCAAATGTAATGCATTACCTTCTTTGAGGCCCAGTAGTTCCCAAGTACTTTGCATTTTATGTTTGTCTATTTAAAGTTGTTTAAAAGGTCTATTTAAAGTTATTTTTTTATTATTATTTGTGACCCTGGACCACAAAACCAGTCATAAGTGTCCATTTAAAAAAAAAAAATCATTTTTCAGATTAATTTCAGATTTGATCCTTTTTCTGAATAAATAAGCTTTCCATTGATGTATGGTTTGTTTGGATAGGACAATATTTTGCCGAGATACAACTGCTTCTGGAAAATCTGGAATCTGAGGTTGCAAAAAAATTCAAATATTGAGAAAATCGCCTTTAAAGTTGTCCAAATGTAGTCCTTAGCAATGCATATTACTAATCAAAAATTAAGATTTGATATATTTACAGCAGGAAATTTACAAAATGTCTTCATGGAACATGATCTTTACATAATATCCTAATGATTTTTGGCATAAAAGATAAATCGATAATTTTGACCCATACAATGTATTGTTGGCTATTGCTAGAAATATACCTGTGCGACTTATGACTGGTTTTGTGGTCCAGGGTCGTATACAATTATTTTAAGCTGTTTGTGTGTGTTTAACTTTTATTAACTAGCTAACTGTGTTCTGTGTGCTTGTAAGTAGCCATAGTTTGTGAATAAAATTGTCCCCCAAAGTGTGGTAAATGTGACAAAACCTCCCTTTGGGCATGTCCTCAATTGGAAAAAATATACATAACTAAGGAAAAGTATGTGTGTGTCAGGTTTTGCCTATACTGAGGGGAACAAATGTCTCCACAGGGATAGTAAAACCTAAATTCAGCTACATTGTGGAGAATAGATAACTTTAGTGAGGAAAGCAACTTAATGAACATAATAAACAATGTCTTAATGAAAGTGTAAAAATTTAGAAACTTTTCTGTAAGAGTTTGGTTTAGGGTTAGAGCATAAAAATGATAGAATTCAATGGAAAGTCCCCACAGAAAAAACAAAACATGACAGAAAAACACATGTCTGCCATATGTGTTTGGGTGCTTGTGTTGCACACAAAAAACCGGGCTAGTTATTTTGGTGACTAATGTTTTGGACCTTCATATTGTCTTAATGCGGGGAAACATGAACTAGTAACCTTTAGGATATTCACATGACTAACAGGATTACACCCACTTTAATAAAGCTTAACCTCTGTGCAGGGATAGAAAAACTTGCTAGTGGAGATGACTGATTGACAGTGTATTTAATACACAGTGTCTGCTGTTTACTTAAATATTATGTTGGATTTAATTATACTATTTTTTTAACTTTAAAAAGTAGATTCATGCAGTCATCATGCCCTAAACATTTCCAGAAAGTGACTGACTTGATTTTAGTAATATGGCAGTTCATTCTACAGTGAGTTGGAACAAATCTTGGTTATTTAATGTAATCTTGTATAAAAAAAATGTTGTTTCCTGCAGTCATAAATACAGCTTCCTGTATTTGAGTGTTAAATCAAACCTGTCCACAAATATATTGGCTTATTTAAAATTCTGCCAAAGTTATAAACCTCCATTCTGATTGTACGATGGGTGCAGCAGTTTCACTGATGCATTGCCAGTCATTGTGACAGCTGCACAGTTTACAGTTATTGGTGTCATCATACCCGACCGCCCAAGGTGATGTTTTCAGTCATATCGCCCCCTCAGGTGAACATTAGTAGAAAACTAAATCTGGCAGTTCCAATTACTCTTAGGCCAAAAACATAACAAGGCCATTACATTAAAAATAAGATTCATTGCATAAGTCCTCAACAGCATGGGCTAAATTAAAGCCCTCTTACAGAATTATGTGACAAAATTTGAGGGAGTTTGAGGGCAGTGAGTGGGCGTTGAAGTGCCGAACTGTCTGGAGAGGATTATGGGATATGGCAATTTATTGGCTGGAAGACGAAGAGGAGGACTGTTATGGTTTAAAAGGTGAAATTGATGAGCAGCAGAAGTACGAAAAGAAAAGACACAAGTAACAATTAAAATAAACAGCTGCTCATTAACAAATGTGCAGATGAGAAAATGTGGTTGCGAGAAGAAACTTCAGGTCACAGATGACAGGTAAGTAAGAATTTAGGATGGTTTAAGCAATTAAAAGAAAATGTTAATGAGGAATACAAAACAAGCAGCCATGAATTCACTAGTATTGAGAGACTTGCAATCCTAGCTTCAGATTGGGAGAGAGTAAAGCCTGTTTTCCCCTGAGTGTTGTGATTGCCATGTTTGAAAATCTGTTAGGAAAGGAACTAGGATGACAATAACTTTCCTGACAAAAGGCCTGTTTTGTTTGTTGGAAAAAATAAATGAACTGTATCATATGGAAGAAGAAAAAATAAACTACCTAGGGTATAAACTAACAATCGAAACTCAAGCCAAACTTGTTGAACTTAATGAATTTCCACATGCTACTTCCTAGCTCTATCTCTCTGGTCACAGCTGCCAACCTTTTCTCACTTTGCTATTTTAAAGCAGAGTTGATACATCTAGCCAACATCGAGAACCCTGATTGAGGAGTAAGGATTGGATGGAAACAGCACTCACTTTTTCACTTGTGGTGGCTGAAAGGCCTGTGATTTATTGGTGTGCTGCTTTCATACCTTGTTAATACCACCGAGAGCTGGTACGCTGACCTTGTGCTACTTGTTGAAACTCAGAGCAGCCAATTTCCTCTCTCCCAGCATTTTCACTCTCAACGTGGAACAAAAAGCATCTCTGAGATTTACCTCAGCAATTTAGTAGGTGGTTAAACAGCATGAAAACATTCATACCATCTCATGACGGTTCCCGTAGAATGCTGCTCTCATGTTTGCAGGGAGTGCTCCTGAGTCTTCTGTGATAATATCTTCCAGCCACTTGTCTGTCTGTTGTTGTTGACACCTGATATATCAGCTGTCGTTATCACCAGCTTCCCAAATGCTGGTGGATAGAAGCAAATCCCTGCAATTTCTGAAGAGTCCACCAGGTTTAACCTGCATATCAATCCAATATTGTTTCTCTCTCTGTGGATTTGTGGATATAAGGGCTGCATTATTCTGTCAGACAATCATATTTTGATTATTTTGATAGGTAAATGCAATTTTAACTGTGATGGGATACACATTCAACACCTATTTTTGCTATTGTTTGGGAGTTTGTGCTTGATGATTGGAAATGTTCACTACATTTGCATATTAGTGTGGGAATAACGCTACGGGCCAAGCGCTTTCCACAAGGAAACGGCTCTGACAGTATATGTTTTTTTTTTTTATCTGTTGTATCAGACTAAATGTAAATCGAATGTGAATTTGGTAAGATAGCATTTCATTTGATCCAGATACATGAATCTCTAAAAATCACACAATGCACGAATCCCTGCTAAACAGTATAAAATACAATTGAAGCAGCAGCTCTCATGTTCCAGGTGCAAGTTCAGAGAGAAAAAAAAAAACTTGTGTACAACCTAAAAAATAAAGAAATGAAAAAATGCATAAGAACAAATCAGTGAATCAGTTGAATGAATGACTCGATGACTCACTCATTGAGTCACTTGTTGCAACCGTATTGATGTAACTTGCTGAAAGTTGCCCATCACCACTTCATAGCAACTTATATTTTCTTCACAAAATGCTAATATCTAGTTTATTTTTCAGTTCATGTTTCACTAAAAGCTTTTATTCCATCACTTTTCCAATTCTGAAATATTACTGTACATGTAATATGTACCATAAAGACTTCTTCACAATGTTATTTGGATCTTTTCAGATCCTAAATGAAAACTCGACAGAAGTATAGTATATCATCCATCATAAAAAAAGTATTTTTAGATTTTATGCATCAGCTTAAATTCACCATCCCGTTACTTCTCCTCACAAATCTCAGCTGTGATATCTAGCAATCACATATTCCTGTAGAAAGCTCAAAGTTCTCTTTTATTAACTGAACCGTATTGAACGATCAGATATATTGCGAATATCTGCAGCAGAGACTGAGAAAAGAATAAACGGCAGAGGTTTGAATGGACTGCTGCTTTGGAAAAAAAATAAGCTTCTTGCTGATAAGATTGAGAGGGCGCTAATTTGATTTCACAGCGAGCTGCTCAACATTATCTGTCTAATTCCACTTTCCTTTACCTTACATCAACATTTTCTTGTCTCTCATTAAAGCCTAATCATTTGAGCCACCATCACAGGGCCAGACAGGAGCACAGGGTGCTGTCAGAATGAATGACCATCCAGACGATTCAGAGACCCGAGATTAATCAGTGTTTTGATATTTCGGAATTCATTCGCAATGGCGGAAATGGACCTCTACTGTAGTTTGATTAATTTTTTGGCAGAAAGGAGCTTGCATCCTGCCCCGGTAAGGGGATGAAAGACTAGGCGCATCTGTTAGCGAGTGCATTAGCGACAGCT